ATAATTATATACTTGTATAATATTTAATTTTTTAAAGAAATTTCATTTAAATTATTGCATTTAAAAATGACTCTCGTCAGGAATATATATTATTAACTAATTTAAATAAAATTTAGTAAATTTTGATTTCCAGTAGTTTGATCTTTGGGTTTTAACTATCGTCATGAAAGACTATAAAAAAACAAAGTAGGTGAAGCAAAATACCAATAATTTGATATTAATAATATTAATTTTAACTATAATATAAGCAAATTGTGATTTTTGAATTTTTCATACTAATTTCATCTTGAATAATACGCACTATAAGTACCAGGGAAATATATGGCCACAAGATTGATCTTAGATTACTAACAATAAGAGAAGAAATTGAGGCAATGAGACAGAGAAACTTAAAAACAATATTCTGGTATAATATTATGAAATAACAAACACAAGCGCATAGATTCCTGGTACAATAGTGACGCAATCATCGAACTGCTACAGCCTACGGACGACATTTTCGATACCGAGATTTTCCTAACACACACGCAACATAGGATTTTTTTGCCAAACGTACCAATTGATCTAATGAAATCACAATGTTTCTAAAAACAGATTTGAATTTATCGTCATTTCTTCAAGTCTACTTGACAACGACTTCCTACATTTTTGATGTTATCCCCTAAATTCCTAAAAACGTTATTAAAAAAGAGTATAGTAAAACAATTGTTATATTTTAATTTTTAGAGAAGTTGAAATCAAAAAATCAAAAATATGGGAAATGGGAAAGTTGATCTCAAGTAGGAAGTAGACCTATCATCAAAGCTAAATCTATTTTCAGAATTCTTATCACTCACTTTATTATTTGGTATGTTTGACAAATAATATGACTAAAATCTTATACTGCGCGTGCATTAGACAATACAGAAATCATGGTATCAAATCCCCATAAATAGTTAAATGTTATTTTATTATTTAATGTAACTAAAAAAATTTTTTTACGGATACAATCAAACATGCATTAAGCGTAGGTAAACTATTAAATTTTTATTTATGTTCAGATTCTGAGCATAATATGGATTGAGGAATGAATGTATTGTATTTACAATGATGTGTGTATTTTCGACATTATTGACTTCTGTATATTTTTTCTGAAATTCATCAAAATCATGAAAAATTTTAAATTATTTTTCAGTTATAAGCTCATAACAATTTTTCTTTTGATAAATACATAAAAAAAAATGAATAGATAATTCACTACAAGTTTTGTTGGTATCTTATAAGTTTTAAGTGTTAGGTTTTACGATATTGAATATTCAAAAACAATAAGAATCGACAAATTCCTATTAATTGATTTTTGAAACTTTTTGTAATTCAAAAACGAATAAATTCATAATCATTATTAAATCCCTTGAAAAACACAGGCCCCTTAAAATGGTCGGGCCCCAGGCAGCAGTCCCTTCTGTCCTGCCTTTCCACCAGTCCCTCGAACTGACCTTTTGACCAGGATAATAATTTCGAAAACCAAATTGCTGCTACAATTCAGCGTGAATCCCTTGATTGAGTTGACCGTATAGTTCGTCGGTAGGTCTCAAATTACTTACCTATATTATATTGTCAAAAGCAATTTTATTTTATTCGATATGTGACCAGTTGCGTAACAAGATGGAAAAGGGCCCGGGGACAGTAAATAAATTAGACCCCTTAATTCTATCTATAGGAAAAACCACATTATACGTTATATTGTTGTTTAAAATATAAATACCACTGTAAAACCATTAATGAAAATAATAAACTGATAATTAATTGATACTCAAAATAAAAATGAAATCCATTTAATTACTAAAAAAAATTTTAAATATTAACATTTTACTATAATAAATTTATTAATTATTAATTCTTTCTAATCAAATAAGATAAAATAAAGTCTATCAAATCAAATTTATAACCTTTTAGTTTTTACGAGCTTTAATATTAGCAAAGTGATCTATCACTTTACTTAAATCCAATTTTGAAGCTGCCTCGTTTGAAACTGCAATCAATGATAAATATTTGAGTCGATMTTATCCGGTACTATTTCTAAGATAATTTTTGATTATTTTTAATTTGCTGAAGGATCTTACAGCACCTGCTGTAGTTATAGGAATGGTAGGTATATAAAATAGTATAATTTCCATGAACACTTCTGTTATATCCTTATATCACTCCAAATTTGGTTATTATATCCTTGCATAACTGATAAATATTACACGTCTCAGTTAATTCAGGGAAAGTGAGATGGTAAACATTGAGAAACTGTGGCGAAAAATGGCCCTAGTACATCTTGCTTTGAAACTGATCACATTTTTGCAACTGAGTTCTTTCGTCAATGCTATGCAATAGTTTTGGAGTTAAAAAATTAAATATTTTGCTGACTTTACTCATACCAATAAAACGCGTATTTAATTGAGTGATAGTTATGTCGTACCTATTATTAAAAATGGTTATTTTAAATATCTCTTTTCTGTTACTAAATCGGTGATCAGAAGCTAATTCGTCAAAATGTTTTTTAATTTTGCTTTGTCGTTTTACTTGAAAATGAAGATCAATATCATATTATTTTCTTGCAGTTTCTGTGGCCTGATTTCTATGTACGGGACGTACAATCGTCTCTTTTATTTACAAACCTTGGTGGCCGTTGTGCGATAAGATAACGATTACTCTGTAGTCGAACACCGATCATTGCATATTGTGTGTATTTATAGGTATAAAATATTCATATTAAATTTATAATATTAAATTATCATATTTAAAATATCCATCCTTTTTTCAATTTTATTTCAATTATTTTACGGATGAACGGATGTATTTTTAAAATTTACCAAGAGGGGTTCCAGGGAGCACTGCCCTGCTTTCCCCGATGATATCTACGCAACTGTATGTGACCCTACACCTGACATCAAAATTTTGAAGTGATCGCTGCGCAGGACGCGACGATCGATACCACAATAATTATTATAAATTATTTAACGACGTAGCACGTTCGTTACAATTTTGAAACGTTTTTGTGAAGAGGTAGGTAATGAATAAATCAACATTTCGATTCATTATGTTTAATACAATTAATTTTTTTTTTTTTTATTATTGATCTAAAGACATCGGCGACAACGGCCATTAGTCTTTAGATCAATAAAAAAAAAAAAAAAAATTAAACGTTTATTTCTATAATATAAGCACAGATTATTATAATCTGTGCTATAGCCTATAAGTATTAATTAAGTTACAATACTATAATAGACGCACAGTCGTAAACTCACAATATTTCGACTGACGCAAAAATTTCTCYAAAACTTTTAAGTTCTCTACCCGTATTTATATGGGTTTTATCAATGACGTACGATCGGCGATCGGGTGATATGCCTATTTTGCTAATATTACTCCTTTTTATTGTCAGCTTTGCATTTTTTGGTACAAATTTTTTAAACTTGTTGTTTTCACCTTTCATCTAGGCTTCTAGATTAAATATTAATAATAACTATTTTCACTAATCATACTACTAGATCATAGATTATATTATATTATATGCATAATTAATAATTATACATAACTTGACTATACTATTGTTGGGTTTACTACATATTATTATGTGTAATGTATATTATTTTTTAATAATATTATAGACTACGATTCAATGACTTTTTTATGATTATTTTATTATTTATTGTTTTGCTTTAAATATATMTTTTGTATTTATTAGCTATATTATATCGTTATATAATTAATAGCTATAGTATTTATAAAACAGACTTTTTTTCTCAGAAACTTTTTTTCTGGGATCATAATATTCAAAATGTAACTTTCTATTCGCCGACAGGATATTCTATTCGTAAACTTCGTTGCTCGATGGTTATTAAAAAAGAATATTTAAAATTTTTTTTTTATTTATACATAAGGTGATATGGTTGTTAGATTACAAGGACAGGTGCTGAACGGCTTGATTGAAGGGGACTGGTGTCTAAGCGACACTACTTCACAGAGGTTACAGAGGTACTACCTATTTACTATTTAGTGTTAGTATATTAATTATTAATTAAATATTAAATATATAATTGCTAGGTATTAAAATAATTTATTTTACAATAAGTAGTACAGTACTACAGTAGGTTGAATATATTCAGGGGCGGACTGGGAGGTGAACGGCCAAGTATTCTACTGTCGGCCGTCGGGGCCGGCACTACCCGTTTATACCATCCTCTATGAATAAGATAATATTTATAATACCTACATACTTTTTCGGGTATTTATTTATCAAATGTATTAGGCGGTAGTGCGGTACTGCCGTACTGGATTGTGCATAAACACCAAAAAGATAACTTGTTTGCACACTACGAAATCAATTTTTGATTCGAAATCTTCACTAATTTCTAAATCCATGTTTAATACCTAATTATAGGCTAGAGTCATAACTAGAGACGAATTTTATGCATTTGCATGGTGATACTAAGCACATGCACTTATAAAATTGTTTGAAATGTCGGCGATTCAGACTTTATTGAATCCGTAGACCAATTTTAATTTTGCATATAAATGCATATTTGGTGGGTCGGTGCACTATAAACTTTGGGGTCATTTTTTAACAAAAAAA